GTCAGGGCTATAAGTAGTTCCAGCTGACAAGGAACGCAGTAAGACGACTTGGAACTTCTGATCCTCCTCCCTTCACCTCCTGAATGCTGGGATTGCAGACACGTGTTATCACACCTGGCTTATGTGGTACTGGGGATCGAGAGCATGCTAGGCAAGAATTTTTATTTCTTAACATGTATCATTCATGAGAGTAACCAGAAGGCCTTGTTAAAATGCAGATTCCCGGGTTAGCAGTGGTGGCACACAGCTTTGATCCAAGCACTTGGTGGGCAGAGGCAGGCAGATCTCTGTAAATTCTAGGCTAGCCTGGTCTACAGATCGAATTCCAGGACAGCCAGGGCTACACAGAGAAACCCTATCTCAAAAAAAATTTTTTAAGTAAAAAAAAAAAAACACATTAAAATGCAGGTTCCTTGGCTCACCGTTTGAGTTTCAAGCAAGTCTCAGATGGGCCCAGGGGTTAGTTAGCTGCTTACTAGGTTTGCAGAGGTGCTGGTGGGGTGTGTATGTGTGTGGAGAAGCTACACTTCAAGAACCACTGTCCAACCAATTGCTCTCTCCTCCATCCCATCCTTTCCCTTTAGCTTCTAGCCACAGTTTACCTGGTGCCCTGTATAGCCTAGTGCTTTAGACTGCCTGCTGCTGCTCAAATCTGATGGCCTTGGATGACTAGGCCACAGCTAAGGCCCCTTTGTAACCTCTGCTTTCTGCTTCCTGCAGAAACATCCCCTAACTAGGAGACATGCTTTGCTGCTCTTAAATCTGTTTCTCTTTGCCATCTACTGCCCTTTGTTAGACTTCCAGAATCAGGCAAGCATTTGAGATTGCATAAGTGAACACAGTAACTGCTGTATACTTTGTGCCCATGGACACCTGGTTACCTCAGACCAGGTGTGACTCATTACTTTCTTCCTCATGCTCCAAACACTGTAGTAAATGATTGATGAACGGAAGAGATCCAAATATGCTCGCCAAATCTCTACCGTGTGGAAAATAAGGACAAGCAATCTTGAACTGCATTTCTTTTGTGTATTGTATTTTTCCAAGTGGATCAAAGCCCTCTGTAAAGTTTTCCCTTTGAGCAGCCTCATGAGGAGGGAGCTACTTCTATTTTCCACATGGAAACACTAACTCAAAACAAATGTTCTACCCACCAGATGGTCACCTGCAAACAGAGCCTCACATGTCACTGCTAACCCCACAAAGTAACAGCCCTGTGTCAGAAAGCCACTGGTTCCAGACAAGTGAGAGCAGTGTAGGGACAGTTTCTTTCATTGCGAGGGGACAACATTCTGGGGTGAGCCACTGGCTGCAGGCTATTTTCTTTGGGCATCCTTTTGCAGAAACTGGAACCTCTGGATCTTCGGGGAATGTCTGTGGGCTAGTTTTATGTTCCCAGGTGAATCGCTGAGGAAAGTCACTACCTAGTGTCAGGACTGTTTTCTCCAGAGAGTATAGGAGGAGTATGAACCCATGGATCCACCCATTTCTACCTCCCCATCACTGGGATTACAAGCACACACTACCACACATAGCTTATGAGACACACTCCCATGATATCTTCCCCACAGCCCCAGGCAGAACAGTACCTTTGGTGGCTTGCTCTCCTTTATAACTTGACAGGATGTAGCCAAACCTAAGTTCTGTCACAGTCAGTCAATTATACTAACTAATTGCTAATAGAATGCAAAACCATGTATTGTCATTGACTGAAGACACGAATCACCTAAAATATTTGCTTCTGTAAAGAACTGTGTTCTGATTTGTGCATGGCCTGTCTCACTGCATCCTCTGTGATGGAAAGAACAAGGTGACTCACTAGCGACTCTTTTATAAGGGCACTGCTATAGCTCGGATGTAAAAGTTTCCCCCACCCAAACAGGCTCATGTGTTTGAATACGTGGTCCCCAGCTGGTGGCACTGTTTTGGGAGGAGATGGGGCCTTACTGGAGGAACTGCATCACTGGAGATTGGCTAGCCTTGAGAGACATAATCCAGTCCAGCTCCTGCTCTGTGCTCTCTCTCTGCTTTCTGATGGTCCCAGATGTGGAGCCGAAACACAGCCTTCACTCCAGCCTCTCTACCATGATGGACTGTGGGCCAAAAGCAAACCCCTTCACCTTCAAGTTGCTTCTGCCAGGTGTTTTTGTCACCACAAGGAAGTGACTTTCTTATTAAGGCCCTAATCAGAAAGGCTCCACCCTCCAGCCTCATTCCTCCGAAGGCTTCACATCCTAATTCCATCCCACTGGGAGAAAAGAATCCAACTTGTGAAACTAGACCGCTGCCTGACACACTGCACACAGTATTCACTCCTGTGTCTCTTCCCTGGACAAAAGACGAGACCTGGTTCTGTTTCTTCTCACATTATTAGTGTTTACTGGAGAATGTGAAACAAAACAAAACCTGGTAGCGATAGAATAAAAGGAAAGCTAAGGGGGATAGATGGGAAAGGGGGGCCAAGTAACGAGTGAATGTTCCTTCCTATCTTGCCTCACTGCTGTGTCCCTCACAGAGCAGAATAAGCAGGTTAATCCAAGAAGCCATAGGAGTTGCCTTTGCTGAGCCTTTGGCATACAGACTCATAACCAAGGAAAATATCCTGGCTCAGAGCTGAGGAGCAAATTCTCCCCGGCTTCAAAGGCTTTGATCACAAGAAGTGTACACCTGGAGACCAGCTGCAGGGAAGTAAAATCCCGTTTAACCAAGCAAATGAGAGCAAGAGTCAATATGAATCTCCTCATTTATTCATAGTTTGGAAACTTTCGGCTTTTCAGAGACACTGTTTAGACTGAACCAACTGAAAACATGGTTTCATTCAAATTGCCAGGATACTACAAGACTTCCCTGATGGTGTAACTGCAGCCTAGCTATCAAGGCCGTGTGGTGTTGTGGTGGGAAAAGGAAAGAAGACCCTGGGGACCAGGAATAACTTCTAGGCCCATCCATAAAACATGGGGATTCCCAAGGGCAGGCACAGTCCCTCGCTTGCCGGTGCCTTTGTGGGACTGCCTTAGCCTCAGTGCCAGCTCAGCTGCTCGCAATATGAGTGAGCTCGAGGGCTTTGTTCTCAGACCCATCTTTGTGCTCTTTGGCAAATGAAGGAACTTCACTGCTCAGAAGGGAAGGGTGTCGCCCCGGAAGAAAGCTCACTTAACTAAAGCAACCCGGAGAAGAACCAAGCATGCAAACGTATTCTTTCTGTCACAAATGATTTCCAAACTCTCTGAAGGTGTACCTAGACGTTGAATGGACTATTGTAGGTAGCATTTTGGAGGCACAGGAAAAGATAAGGTTCAACTCCTTCCCTGGAAGACTATAAGGCACCCAGATATAAACAGTTTCTTGGATCCATCAGCAGAGGCCAGGAGGCACTCAGGAACAGGTTGTCCAGCAACCTGCACAGATCAAGCTAGGATAGATGATGCAACTGCAGAATGGTCCTCACTTAGCCCTTTTTTAAAAAAATTTGTCCAAAGGCAGGGCTTGAAGCTGGGGACTTTGAGCATAGCACCTCTAAAATAGAGGGCTTGTCATCATCTATGGAGTAAGCCATGTAGTAGCAGTAGGGCTGAACCCTGAATTGTGTTTTATCCAGAGCTTTCCTTTAAAGGAGATGAGAGCAAATCTGTAAGTCAGGCAGCATAGCCAGGGCTGCAAGGTTTAGCTTATCTAAGAGCAGGTCCAAAACAAGAGTCAATGGCTATAGAGGAACGGAGATCACATGACCCAAACCACTGTTTCACAGCACAGTTTATAAGAATCATATAGTTCTATCCTTTATATTTCTTTTTTTAAAAAAAGATTATTTTGCCTGTTGATGATGTTTCTCTACGTGTATTAGCTTTTTCAGAAGAAGAGTTGGAGACTTGGCTCAGCAGTTAAGAGCACTGGATGCTGTTCCAGAGGACCTTAGTTCAATTCTCAGCATCCATATGGTAGCTCACAACCATTTGTAATTCCAGTTCCAGGAAATCTGACACCCTCTTCTAGCCTCCACTGGCACCAGGCACACATACAGTGCACAGATATATATGCAGGCAACACATTCATACACATACAATAAAAGTTAAAAATAAACAAATAATAAAGAAAAACACTGAAACTCATTGGTGACCTCTCTCCTCCCAACTCTCTCTCTCTCTCTCTCTCTCATGCTCGCATGTGTGTGTGTGTGTTGAGACAGGATCCTATTATGTAGCCTTGGCTGACCTGGAACTTGCTACTGGCTTCAAACTTCTACATACTTCAAACAACTACATACTACCATGCCTAGCTAGTTTCACATTTTTGATTGTTACTTATTTTCTACATTACAAATATCTTCTCTAAACTTTCAACTGCACATAGAGTTTCAAGATGTCAACAGTACCCCCTGAGATATGGCACACCCCCAAAATCAGAAGAGAATAATTTAGACAGGTGTAAGCTCTACAAATATCAACAAAACCAGAGATCAGTCATAGCTGTGTACCTTTCACACCGAAGGAGCATTTTAGGCGTATCAAAGCATCCTTCAGTCACCTAGCTTCAGCCCCACAAAAGCCTATGAAGAAAATGGGTCTTGCTTCCTCACTTGCAGGGTAAAGAGATCCATCAGTGGACCATCTAAACAATCCTTGTGATCCAAGCCTGACCTGTTACCCCAGCTTTATAGCTGAGACAATTCAGGCCCAAAGAAGGAAAGAAACATTTTTTTTATCATCACAGCCCTGCTTAATAGTGGACAAGGAACCAGGTGTGGTAGTGCACGCCTTTAATCCCAGAACTTGGGAGGCAGAGGCAGATGGATCTCTGTGAGTTTGAGGCCAGTCTGGTCTACAAAATGAGTTGCAGGAGAGCCAGGACTATATAGTGAGACCCTGTCTTGAAAAAAGCATGGACAAGGACCCAAAATGCTTGTCATCCGGTCTCTAGGACAGGGAGTGGCCCTACTCTACTCTCACAGGGTGGAGCCCATTTTGGCATATCTGTCCTTGAAAATAAGACACAGGAAAAACTTCGTTCAACCACCTTTATTGGGCAATAATGGTGAAGGGACTTTATTCTATACCAAAGGATATGCTGACTGAGTGGAGGTACAATTGGGTTTTATTGATAGACGCAAGATTCTGTTACATGAAAGAGGCAGAATCCAATACTCTATATAATGATTGTTATTATTATTACATGCAGAAACATGGATTTATTTAGAACTTATACCTAAGACTGTAACTGAAATAAGGTAGCTTTTCGTGGTATTGAGTGACTAGTGGAAAATTCTTTAGCTCTCCCTGTTGTATGTGGGGTATTATCAGTATTATTAAGATATAGAATGTTAGCCGGGCGTTGGTGGCGCACGCCTTTAATCCCAGCACTCAGGAGGCAGAGGCAGGAGGATCTCTGTGAGTTCAAGACCAGCCTGGACTACCAAGCGAGTTCCAGGACAGCCTCCAAAGCCACAGAGAAACCCTGTCTCGAAAAACCAAAAAAAAAAAAAAAAAAAAGATATAGAATGTTAATCAGGAAAATTCAGTCTGAATGCAAGACTTAATATTTCAAACCCACAATGTAGGATCCATTTTCTTTACTATAGGAAAGGATTATGCCCACTTTCGTTTCCTGCTTGACTGATGAATCACATTCCCATCTGATTCAAGTCTTGCACTGATGTCTTATGCACGATAGATACTCCAGAAGCATCTGCAAGAAAAATTCATGGGTGCTGGAGTGGTGTCACTGTATTTTACTAATCTTATAGCTTCAAGGAATTAGCTTAAAAGGATTGGTGAAGACTCCATTGGGCGAACAAAAAAACAAATGAAAAACAATCCCGAAAGAGTTTTCAAACAGCTGAGCAAGGTGGTGCACACCTTTAATCACAATACTGGGGGAGCAGAGACAGGTGGATCTCTGAGTTCAAGGTCAGCCTGATCTACATAGCAAGTTTCAGGCCAGCCAGCATCACATGGTGAGACCCTGTCTCAAAAAAAGTCTTCTAACAGCCCTTTACATTGGAAATGACTATCCATGGGAACACATGCCACCAGGCCTTCATATTACTTATTGTTTATATTGTTTACATTACTCATTGCAAATCTTGTTACAGCATATACATATGCATATACAGAGAGACACATATATACATATATACGTATATATTCTAAAGGTTCTCCAACATAGACTTTTAAAAAAGATTTTATTTTATTTATGTATACCTTTGTGTGTGTGTGTGTGTGTGTGTGTGTGTGTGTGTGTGTGTGTGTGTGTACATATATATGTGTGAATACTTAATGAGGTCAGAAAAGGCTGTCGGATCCCCTGGAGCTGAAGTAACAGGCCCTTGTGAGCTGCCTGATGTGGATGCTGGGAACTGAACTCCGGTCCTAAGCTATCTCTCTAGCCCCCAACATAAACTTTTTAAAAGAGTTGAGTCCTAATATTGGAGACAATCATTCCAAGAAACACTGGTAGATGTAGGGGTACAAAGCCTGTCTTCCCCACTCAGATCTGTAAAGCCCCTGAGTGATAAATCTGGGTGCAGGTAGACCTTGAAAAGTGCCAGCTGCTACCCCAGAAATTCTGTCTGAGTGGCAAGATACCAGCAACATGGTCATCCCAGGTCACAGGGTCAGGTGCTTAGAACCTGATGCTCTTGTGGCATGGCACCCAGACATAGGAAAATTAACATCAGTGTCCTGAGTCCCCAGTATTTCCTGTGCACCTTCAACTGTCTGTCTTCAGTGCCTTAGAGGGAGGTTGGTGACAAGAGGAAACCTAGAGAACTGAGCCCAGCCGAGAATGACAGCATTAGTTCAGAAGACAACTGAGGGTTATATCCACAACTGTGATGTCAGACACTGGCCACCACCTGGTGCTTCCGAGATCTTCTCCAGGGTTCAGAAGAAGACATCCAAAACGACAGCCAAAAAGAAACAGAGGAGCGTCAATCTATCTACAGCAATGATACTGTCTCAGAGAAATGGGCAGAACTCTTTAGGGCCCAAGGCTAGGCACAACAAGGTGATAGCCAGGCAAGTCACCAGCCTTTCCAGCCCCTGCCTGCAACTCAGTTGTAGGAAAGGTAGTCGATGAGCCGTGGAGGGATGTTTAATTTGGCGACTTTCTCTAGCCCCCGAACGCCAGTGGCTTTCCTCAAGCTCACCCTGCAGAGCTGTGAGAGGGTAAGAGGTGTCTCTGAAAAAAAAAAAAAAAAAAGGATCAAGGAAATACATGAGGATAATTTCTAGAAGAAGCACATCCTGCGACCTAATGCTAAGGCAGAACTGGAAGAGTCTCCCTTTCCCCTAGAATCAGGATGGATCAAATGTCACCTCTGGAAGGTCAGATAGCCAGGGACCAGAGGACCAGGCAATAAGGTTCAGGTGGCATCCACAGGGATTCATCTTATTCAAGACAGGGGTCTTCTCTTTTGTTGGAGGGGGATGTTGGTTCGTTTTAGACACTTACTATTTGGCAAATAGACTTATCAGCAAATAGACTTTGTGGCTAAAGGACTTGTGTGTCACAAATCCAGCCGAATGAGGCATGAGTGAAGGAATTATGCCAGGGAAGGTGCTAGCAGCCTGCTCATGCTATTATAGGCTTCTTTCCTCACTGGGGACACAGGCTATGGGAATACAGGAAGAGCTGGTGCTTCAGTACAACACGGTCCCCAGAGACAGAAGTAATCCTAGTACATACTAGTGACCAAGGACAGGAGCTCAGGACTCAACTCAAAGCAGTCAGCATAAATTCAAGGACAAATAGCAAGCTGAGGACCCAAGATGAACAATGGTGGTTCCTGACAGTCTGGGTGGTTCTGTGTCAACTTGACACAAGCTAGAATCATCAGAGAGGAAGGAGCCTCAGTTGAGGAAATGCCTTCATGACTTCCAGCTGTAAGGCATTTTTTTCAATTACTAGGCAGTGAGGAAGTGCTCAGCCCAATGTGGGTGGTGCTATCCCTGGGTCGGTCTTGGCTTCTATAAGAAAGCAGTCTGAGCAAGCCTGGGGAAGCAAACCAATAAGCAACTCCCCTCCCCTCCATGGCCTCTGCATCTGCTCTGCCTCTGGGATCCTGCCTTATTTGAATTCCTGTCCTGACTTCCTTTGATGATGAATAACAACATGGAAGTGTAAGCCAAATAAACCCTTTTCTCCCCAACTTGCTTTCTGGTCATGGTGTTCCATCACAGCAATAGAAACACTAACTAAGACACTGGGATATGGGAGTATTTGCACAATAGAACCTGGCTCACTTTCATAGTACTCAAAGCACTTGGCCGGGGCACTGCTGCTCCACGTGTAGTCCGAGGGCTTCTTCCCCCGGTTGTCCCGGGCGTAGATGTTGCCTCCAAACTCTATGAGCATCTCGATGAGGTCCACGTTCTTTACCTTGGCTGCATGATGAAGGGCGGTCTCATGAAGTTTAGCTGCATTTACATTGGCTCCTGGAGAGCCAGAGCAGAGAATGGCTGTCACCAAAGTGAGAATGTGGGACTAAGGGGAAGACTGACCTACACACACCATCCTTTGGGACAAAGGGGAAGGCTGACCTACACACACCATCCTTTGGGAACAAGGGGAAGACTGACCTACACACACCATCCTTTGGCTGAGTGCAAAAGCAAACCCTGCCCAAAATGTACCTTCTTAAAATCTAAGAGTAATAATTATTTTTCCTTATGAAAGTGTGGGCAGCAATAATTTAAAAAATATATGCACCCCCAAAAAAGCAAAATAAAAGTCTTCTTATGGGTCAAATGTCTGTTTAGGTGTCATATAGGTGTCCTATACTCTGACCTCAGAGGTCCCTAGATTTCTAGAGGCTCAACCTAAGTCACCCAAATGCTGCAGCCTATACTTGGACACAGACATACCAGGTGACACAGCCGCTCTACCACAGGCACCATGAACTCAAAAAGTAATGGGTTGGATGATAAAATGAATATTCCTTAAATATATTCTTTTATTCACTTGGAGAGATAAAGGGAAACAGATAATGTGCATGGAAGTTAGCTGTGGACTCAATTCCACCCTCCTTATCTTTCTGGAGGCATACAGAAAGGTTCAAAGAATTAGTAGCTAATTTTAAAATACATTAAAAAATAAAGGCTTTGAGGCTGGCAAGATGGCTCAGCACAAGTCTGGTGAACTGAACTCAGTTCCCAGAACCAACAGAAAGAGGGAAGAACCAACTCCACAAAGCTATCAGCTGATCACACGAATGCACTATGGCATGCACACCTGAACTCACATGCAAACAATCAAAATAAATAAAACTTAAGGCGAATGTTTAAAAGTTAAAAATTTTGGTTACAAGATGGTCTCTGTGAAATGTCCTCCTTGACACATAGCAATCACTGGTTCTATACAATGGGTTTCCTAAGGCCTCAGACTTCATTTGGAAGAAGATGACAACTTCTTTGAATCTCCTCTTGACCAATTAAGAATTAATAGCTGACAATAAGAAAAGATTAAAGTATTTTAAAGAAGCCAAGCAAATACCTTAGCATTGATAAATTCCTAAAATTACGGCTTCAAACCACAGACTTAAAAATCATAGCTATGCCAACAACATGCCACTATTTGGTGGTCATTTTCAGTGCTGTTTCCACCACTCGAAATATTGTTGGAAAACAATGGTTTTCTGCTTTAAACTCTGTGTAATCCTCCGGATTTAAGAGCTGCGTTTATCACAATGGTCACGGTGTGATCCTGGGAACACTCTTTCCTTTCCCCCTGGCAAAATCCAGAAAGCTCAGGTCTGGAGGGATTGACTGTTCACTCAAGGGAAAAGGCTTGAATCACACACAGGAGTTACAAAATGATACGGGAAGGAAGTAAAGACTGTTGTAATCATTGTGCAAAAATAAATTTTAATGCTACATATACAATTTGTAGTGAAAACTAAATTGTAAAGATCACAGAATCTATCATCCAAGTGGCTTTGTCTCATTGATCCTTGCAATATTCTTGCTAACCAGGACAGAATGTAAGTATCTCAATTTTAACAATGGAGAAAAAGACACAAGGAAGCAAATTGCCCTCAAGGTCAGAGAGAAAAAAGGAAGCAGGAAAGATCTGGAATATACACCCCTCCTTCCTTGCTGTTTGCCACCTTGGCTCCTGAGATAAGGCCTTGGACCATGAGTGACTCTTTCAAAGAAGCCTTCCCAAAGTAAGCAATAAAACTGTTCCATAATGTGTGCTTGGCATCATTTGATTGGGTAGAAAGGAAGGAGGGTAAAGGAAGGAAACCGACTGGAAACATCAAACCAAGTGTGTGCACAGCAGTATGCATGGGCTTGGATGAGTGCTCAATGAAATCAGAAATGGTGAGACAAGACCAACACTGTGGGTTTCCATTAGAAAGCTGGAGAAGGAACAAAAGGAGGGAGGGAAGAGTGTCAGCAGGCAGTGACTGTGGTACAGTGAACATTTTATGTCTTGGCCAAGCAGGGGAGGTGGTAAAGCACCTTTTCCTAGTCATTAACAACTGTCAATGTCACGTCTCAGAGAAAGGGGTCACAGCTGGCTCATCACCAAAATCCTAACTTCAAAGCAAAATAGCATTAATGTGATTTGGAGCAAAACAGAACCCAGTGAAGCCAGGGTTGCCCTAACACACTCTAGCACACGGCTGAGAACAGCCCCAACCCTGGGACATCAGCACAGATTACTCAATACACAGTAACAGGGCTCTCTCTACCAAGGAGGTGTATGCACAACTAACCCTTAACTACTAACTTCTGGCCTCTTCCAAAAGAGTTAAATATTTACTGTTAATGGTCAGATGAAAAATTACTTAACCACAATAACTGGACTTTGATCCTCACCAGTTTTCCTTTGCAAACAGAATCTAGTTGCTTAGCTCAGCCTCTCTACCTACAAAAAGAAAAGGAGCAACTGTCTTTGTTCTCCTGTGGAGAACAGTATGACAACTCCATATATGGCTCAGCGCCTCCAGTGGAGTCAGGACCTTTGATGTCACTGCAGAAGCACCTACTGCATGCAAAGTGCTGAAGACTGAGAGACGATGGTTTCCCAACTGCCTGCAACGGGGATTTGGTACCTTCTTCCGGCCTCTGCAGGCACACACACACACACTCTCTCTCTCTCTCTCTCTCTCTCTCTCTCTCTCTCTCTCTCTCTCTCTCTCTCTCTCTCTCTCTCTCTGTCTCTCTCTCTCTGGCCTTTGCAGGCACCCACATACATACATACACATACACACACACACACACACACACACACACACACACACACTCTCTCTGTCTCTCTCTCTGGCCTTTGCAGGCACCCACATACATACACACACACACAGAGATAGAGAGAGAGAGAGAGAGAGAGAGAGAGAGAGAGAGAGAGAGAGAGAGAGAGAGCACTTGTACCAGCTGCATCCATTTATCCACTATCATAGCAGATAACTAGCACAAGAAAAGTAGATTTCAGCCTGGTGGTGGTGGTGCAAGCCTTTAATCCCAGCACTCAGGAGGCAGAGGCAAGTGGATCTCTGTGAGTTCGAGACTAGCCTGGTCTATAAGAGCTAGTTCCAGGACAGCCTCCAAAGCCACAGAGAAACCCTGTCTCAAAAAAAATTTTTTTCAAAGGCATAGTGAAACTCTTGAGCCATGAGATCAAAATGACTGTACTTCTGCTATACTTCTCATGTTTTGTCACATGAACCAAGAAATGACCTTCATTGTTCACCCAGTTGTAATTGGCTTCCTTATTCCAACAGCCATCTAGGTTCCATTGGGTTCGGTAGCCAAAGATTTAAGTATTCAGAAAAACAAAAGAGATTTCATCTATCGCAAACATGTGCAGACCTTCTGTTCACTTTAGGGATCTCTCTGCAGGGAGTCTTTTCCAAATACCCGCCACAAACCAGGTTATACATGCTCCATTCTCTTAAATACTGCCAACCCCACTGCCCATTCATTATACCTCTGACTCAGATTCAGACAGCAAACCTCATCAGACAGGCATTATTTATGAACAGCTGCCTGTGTTCTCTAAAAATAACCATTCATGGGGTTGAGAGAGACGGTTCATTAGATAGGAGAACTTGCTGTGCAAACAAGAGGACATGAGTTCAAATCTCTAGGACCCATATAAAAAGCTGGGCATGGAGAAATACCTTGTTCAGCTTAGGCACAGGGGGGAGGGCCTTGGTCCTGCCTCAATGTGGTCATGGGACAGACTTCATTGACTCCCCCTACCCTATGGAAGTATAGAAGCCTTACCCTCTCTGAAGAGCAAGAGTGGGGGTGGGGTAAGGGGAAGGTGAGGGGATTGAGACAGAGGGGAACTGGATTAGAATGTAAACTAATAATAATAATAATAATAATAATAAAGCTGAAAGCTGAGTGTGGCTCTGTGGCCTATAACCATCTCCTGTGAGGGGTAAAGAGAGGCTTGCTGGCTGTCATCCTAGCTGGAAGTTCAGAGAGAGACCCTATCTCAAGGGAGTAAGGCAAAGAGAGACTGGTAAAGGGGACACCTGACATCCCCCTCTGGTGCATGTACAACACACACACACACACACACACACACACACACACACACACACAAATAATAAAGTAATCGCATGCATTTACTAAGTGTTGACTGTATACCCGGCATTGTGGAAACTTTATTTCCATCTGCTTCCACTACCCAGCCCTCTGCTAGCACAGCACAGGTAAGTCAACCACTCAGGTAAACACTATCTTGGGTAAGCAGCAGCATACCTGCATTGAGCAAAACTTTGACACAGTCCAAATGCTCTCGTGCACAGGCAACATGTAGAGGCGTCCCGAAATGGCAATCGTGAGCTTCCAGATTGGCCCCCACATCAATAAGAAGCCTCACACATTCAGAACTCCCTTGAAATAAATGGGAAAAGATGGAAAAGTGCATGAATTTGTACACTGGAAGTGGTAACCATAGCCAACAGCAGTAGAAAAGGGTAAGCAGCTTATATCTCCACATACAAAGAAGTTGGTAACTCCGAATGGCCCTAGAAGAGGACAAAGACATCTCTCCCCTTCCCTCAGGAGTTCTCAGCACACTTGGTAGTAAAAGGGTCACAGGCACTTCCCTTCTGAGAACAGAAGACGTGGGATACCACTTGGACACAGGGATCAAAGACTATCCTGATCCTCATCCCCTAGTTCCCCCTCGAAGTGGCTAGGGAGCATCCAGGCTATAGCAAGCGCGCATAGCTGCTGGCATCCTGCCAGTCTCCAGGAAGAAGGAACCTTCCTCTGCCTTCTCTAGCACCTCGACGGCCTCTTTCCTGCTCTTCCTTTTGCCTTCGGGACAGGTTTGGACTGAGGGCCTGCTTCTCTCCTTTCCAGAAGATTCTGCCACAGACTCCATCTTCTCTTCCTCTCTTTCTTCCTCCCTTTCTTTCTCTCTTCCTTCCTTCCTTTCAACCCTGTCTTCATTTGTTTGTTGCCTTTTTTTATTTTTTGAGGCAGGGTTCCTCTATGTTGCTTTGGCTATCCTGGAACCCACTCTGTAGAGCAGGTTGTCCTCAAACATGGAGATCCACCTGCCTCTGCCTCCCATGTGCTGGGATTAAAGGTGTGCACCGCCATCACCCAGAATCCATCTTCTCATGTCACTTAATTACCTCCTTGTTGCTGACAGCTACCCAGTAACCATCCCATTCCCTAAAACATAGCCCCACACCCACCACGCTAGCAGAGCTCATCCTAACAGTACAACCACTACATAGTCCCCTTTCCCAGAGGTCCCTGCTCCTACATAAATTCTTTTCAGTCGGTGTCATTGCTCCCTGCTTAGCCTGAGTCACTTTTTACCTTATTTTTGCATCTTTCCCTCAGACCAAATCCTGCTTGATATTGGTGGGCAAGGAGTTAGATGTGGAGGTAACCAAGGAACACTAGCTATATCTTAGCAGTTGTGTTCCCTGATGGTCAAATATCCCTTGTGGAGAGACATCATTGAAGCTTCAGTTAGGCTGTTCCCAGTGTATCAGAGGCTAAGGCACCAAAGCTTCTCTCCACACAATGCACGTTAAAGAAGGACCCACATCCCCAAACAACCTGACATCATTATAATATCACTGGCATTGAGATTTTTGACATATACCTCTCTTTTATGGGTTTTGTTTTCTTAGAGTATCATAAGAAGAAATCCCCAAAAATGGAAAGTCTGGTCCACCATAACTTAGGAGGAGAATATGCCACCTACCTCACAAATATTCATAAAACTTCTCTATAACCAGATGTAGTGGTGCATGCCTTTAGTCCCAGCACTCGGGAGGCAGAGGCAGGTGGATGTCTGTGAGTTTGAGGCCATCTTAGTCTACAAAGCAAGTTCCAATACAGCCAGGACTGTTACACAGAGAAACCCTGTCTCTAAAACAAAACAAAAACAAATAAAAACAAAAACAAACAAATGAACAAAAAACTTATTTATGGATCTACAACTCAGACTTCTCTGGGCTGCTTACAACTTGGGATGGCTCATTCCAATCTTTCTGTTGAGTGTTTGCTTTGCTTAGCTTTGATAAATAAACTTCTGCTTAAACTATGTCTCTTGACTGAATTCTTTTCTTCAAGAAGACAAGAACTGAGAGCTCCTACTGGTCCTCTCCCACCCCCATCCATACAGGCCAACATCTTCTTTTGGGCTCTAAGTGCTTTGTACTTGGGCCATTTCAATGGACTCACCGCTCATGCAGGCCTCATGCAGCGGAGATGCTGTGTACAAAGGAGGGTTGACCTTCGCCCCATAGGACAGCAGGAGCTTCACACACTCGATGCTGCCTGAGGCACAGGCATCACAGAGAGGGGTGCTGCCATCAATGTTGCGTGCATCCACCTCAAACATCAGAAGAAACAAACGTCAAAGGGCGAATGAATGTGATGGTGCTTGTAGCCTCCATGCGCACTCATCTTTGCAAAGATAACGCCTTAAAATTACCAGTTTGCTGCTGTACATCAAGCCAGGCAAGGGGGTTCAAAGAGAACAATTGCGTGGATTGGAGGCAGGAATGCATAGGAGTCTCTCATATAGAAGTCCCTCACTGAAGGTTCTCCCCTCCCTCCCAGGGCAGGATGAAACTCAACCTCACCCCCACCAACACCGGAGGCAAATAATAGATATAGGGCAGAAAAGGAGAGCCTGAGGTTGCAAGCTGGGAAAACAGGTATCAAGAGGGAGCTTGGGCCAAAAAAAAAAAAAAAAAAAGCGCTCCAGACTGCTTAGCATGCCTCATCTTGTATGAAAATCACAGGCCAGGAAGAAGGCAACTCCCTAGACAAGTTTGGCTTCCGTGTGAGTACACACTGAAAACTGTGGAATTTGTTCCATTCCAAGCTTTGGGGAAGAGTAAACGGTGCATTGCCTTCGCTCTGCTCTGGTGAGCTCCGAGACCAGAGCCGGATATTCTTTGTAAGCACCAACACAGAGGGTGACGCAGATCCTGACAGCTCTGCTAAGCAGCCTACAGAAAAGAAACCAAGGTAGCTAAAACTATGCGGGGAATATGCATGCTAGCGAAGGCAACCTGGTCAGAAGTTAGTTCTGCTACCTCCGTTCCCCCACCCCACCCCACTTGTATTGCCAGCATCTCACATGGATATCCTGGAGTCAAGAACTCTGCTGGTTAAACACCTACGTGGCAACTGCTCAGCCTAAGCCCAAGTGCTCCCAGAGAGTCTGTGCCTGGTCCACGGCTGCCCTGCTCTGCCCTGACCATCTCAGAGCAGAGTCATGCTAAACCACTGTGCTAAAACTGGTCCACAGCAACTACCCCACCTCCTCCCGTGGCTTTCAGCACCCTAGGCAGTTTCACTGGGGCACCCTGTCTACCTACTTGCTTGCATAACTTTAGAGTCTTTTCTTCTCTCTAGTGTTCTCTGAGCCTGACCCATCCACTCTCACAGCTGCGACTAGAGAGCTGTCAGTCCCACATGGTCACCCACCTGGGCACCAGCTGCCAGCAGCAGTTGCACACACTGGGCCTGGCCCTGCAGACTCGCTGCATGAAGGGGTGTGATGGAGTCCACGGTGACCTGATTAACACATGCTCCACTCTCAATCAGCTGCTGAAGCTGTAGGCTCTCACCCCGCTGAGCTGCCTCATGCACAGGGGTACGCTCCACCCAGAAACCTGAAGAGGAAACAGAACCCTTACCAAGACCCTCCTACTGCCATCAGGACAAAGGCATACACAGGAGGCTCCAGGGCCCACTGGCAGCCAAGACACCATGCAATTGGTTCCAGCGTTCCTATTAAAATCCATAAGCAGGGCTAGAGAGATGGCTCATTGGTTACAAACACATACTGCCATTCCAGAGGTCTCAGGTTCAATTCCCAGTACCTGCATAGCAGCTCACAGCTGTATGTAACTCTAGTTACAGGGGATCCAACATCTTCACACAGATATATTTATGCAGGCGAACACCAAAGCACATAAAATGAAAAAATAAATTTAAAAAGCCCATAAGCAATCTCAACTAGCTGAGGGCTAGAGTCCAAAGTCCTTGCCAGGGCATAGAAGAGTTCCTGTGCTATGGCTCTGGCTCATACTATGATCCCACCTCCCACCGCTGGCCCCGTACAGACACAGTGATAGCTCACTGTTGTGCCCAGCAGTTCCACAGATGGTCCTTACCAAGAGAAATGTGCCCCATAAGTAGCAATATACAGTTTGAGGGAACAGTGAGAAGTAGCTAGTTTACAATTTAAAGTCAATGTGGGAGAGAGGAAAACCCCAAACTAAAAGAAGTTGCACGCAACTTTAGAAGGGAGAGAACAACAAGGTAAGCCTTGGATTTGTGTTGGGGTGGTGAGGAGAGAGAGAAATAGGAAGAAACTGAGAAGAGAGGAGAGGAGGGGAGGTGAGGACAGAAAGGGGAGAGGAGGAAGGAGAGGGGAGGAGAGAGGAGAAACGAGAGGGGAGGGGAGAAAAGGAGGCCACCAGGACCAGAACAGGGCCTGAGGTGGAGCTAACGTATCGTGTGAAGTTCCTGCCATATATCCATTCAGCAGCATATCTACAAGGGACCAGCATTCTCCACTTCCATATACAAAAATGTGTAAGAGGCAGCTATAGGCAGCTCCTAGTTAGGAGCAAGGTGAATGCAGAAACACTTCAAAACACCACAATAATGACAATGGACGAACATCTCCAGTGATAGGAATTCAGAAGCAAAATCTCTGAAATAGCAGGCAAGTGCATGGAAGCAGCAGAGAGGAAGGCAAGCTGTGAGTGTGCAGGTCAAGCTTGCTGACTCATCTCTGTGTTCCTAGCACTTAGTACGCATGTTGCTTGTGTTCACCTGGATGCTGGATGCTTGGATGAAGGGATGGAATGGCTTAAAGGAATTTTAATTGTATAAAATATGCAATTTGAAAAAGACAATAGAACTTTATTTCTTTATATGGCCTGTCTTTAGAAGAAATGCAATGGCTGGTAACTACATTTTCCAGTAGAAACATCAACGGCAATCGTCTTAAAGCAATATTAAAGACAGAAATCAGAAGCAGCAAATGTGACTGTCAAAATGGAGGTGGAGGACGGAGAGGAGGAGCAGGAAGAAGGGAGAGATTTCAGTCCATCAAAGGGCACAGTCAACAGAGTTAAAAGACAGTACATAGGCCCAGTGGTGGTGGTGGTGGTGGTGGTGGTGGTGGTGGTGGTGGTGGTGGTGGTGGTGGTGGTGCACGCTTTAATCCCAGTGGTGTGGAGGCAGAGGTAAGGGGATCTCTGTTCAAGACCAGTCTCGGGAAAAAAAAAAAGACAATGCATAGAATGGAAGAAAATATTTACAAATTACATATCTGATAAGAGAGTAATACCAAGAATATATAAAGGACTTCTATAATTCAACAACATAAAAATCAAAGAATTCAAGTTTAAAGTGGGCAAAGGGTTTTAACAGACATTTATCCAAAGAAGACATACAAATGGACAATTAACATATGAAAAGATTGTTAACATCACAAACATAAAGGAATGCAAACCCAAATTACAATGAGATGCTACTACTTCTTACTCCTTTGTTATATAGGTTTTTTTTCTGAAACAAAACATTCAATCCTGGAGGGAAGCTCATTAAGACTCTTAATATTCTGGATGTTTTAAGGGAAGTGGAAACATTCCATTCTCAAGAAAGTTTCTTAAAACTCAGGAAGCAAACAACTCAATAACATCAGGAAGCTCCTGAAACTGACCAGATTCACAAGGTCTCTTACTCTCCAGACATACACAAATAGTAAGGACTAATAAGAGATACTCTCAAACAAGCCAGGCCTAGAAGACACTCAGACCAACTGAGCTGCCTGGAAAGGACACTCTCCAGTGTGGAGCTGCTTCCAAGTTGTGCAGTGAACTCCAGGTTTCCAGTTTTCATATTCTATCCATGCTGCATTTGGTGGTGCAGCTGCCTTTGAGTTATCTCTGATCCTGTACGTAAACCCTCACCCACACTCCTGTAAGTGAACCCAACAAACTTACCCATACTCTTGTAAGTAAACACAACAAAGAAGAATACAAATGTTCATCAAGAGATGAATGGATAAGCAAAATGTAGCCTTACATAGGAAGAAAATACAAATATATGCTACAACATACATAAACCTTGAAAACACTATGTTAAGTGAAATAAGTCAGTCACAAAAGGCCATATGCTATATAATTCTACTCATATGAGGTACATAAAGTAAACAAAATTACAGGGACAGAAAGCAGCCTAATGGGACTAAGGAAGGTGGAGAATTATTGTCTAATAAGTATATGGAGCCAGTTTTGCTGGATAAAAAGAGTTATGTGGGTGAAGGATGATGACTGTTGTACTTAATGCCACTGAACTCTACATCTCAAAAGTTTACGATGGCAATTTTTTGTTACATGCTCTTTACCACAATCCAAATGTTTAGAAGGGAGCTGGAGAGATGGATTAGCTGTTAAGAGCACTGGCTGCTCTTTCAGGGGACCTGAGCTCAATTCCTAGCACCTACATGAAGGTTCAGTACCACTTGTAACTCCAGTCCTGGATGATTCAGTACCGTATTCTGGCTTCTGATGGTACTGAATACATATAGCTCAGAAACATATATGCAGGCCAAACACCCACACACATAAAAATTTTTATGAGTAACTATATTAGTTACTTTTCTCACTGCTATGATAAAACACCTGACAAATGCAACTTAAGGCAAGAAGAGCTTATTTTGGCTCAGGGCACAATCCATCCCAGTGGGAAAGACATAGCAATAGGAGCATGTGAAAACACATTGTGTTCACAATCAGGAAGCAAAGGGAGATGAATGCTAGTCCAGTACCTCGTTGGAAAGGCTCTCACAGAAATACCCAGAGGTGTATCTCCCATGTTATTCCAGGTCCAATTAAGCCAACAAGACACAGTAGCCCTTACAGAAACCAAAAGCCAGAGGAGAACCTGAGCCTGGAAAGAGCTGCCATCTGCTCAATAGCATCGCAAAAGATAGCTTTATAGCAGGGAGGGGTATTAGTCATCTAGGGTGCATCTGACACTCCTGGCCACTGGATGACTCTTCTAGGGTTATGAATTAGGGAGGAATAAGGCATTCTCTTCATCAAGACCAGTAGCAAGCACCAGGAAGGATAACAAAAAAAAAAAAAAAAAAGTAAGGGGAAGGACAGCTTGGAAGTGAGAACCTTTTAAATGCATTCCTGAAGAGTAAATGCAGAAAATACAGACAATTAGCAAACTGGCAGGTCAGGCTTCACTATGGACTGGTCCAGCCCAATGCCAAGACCCCAGTTCTGATAAAGTGCTCCATTCCTGAATCTCAATATTATATCCTGGGGTTAGTGTTGCGTTGGAAATCTGAAACCCTGCACTGTTTTGGCAAGCTCCCTCTGGGGCTGGAGCCCAGGCTTCAATCCTTGCTATACAATCGGTCTCCCATTGCCAGTTGGCTCCATCTCCCTTCCTCTTCATGTATCCAAATAAGCTGACCACAGTCTTCCAGTGACTCATATTTTCTTTTGGAAGTCAAGGTGCCCGTCTCTTTATTTGTAGAAATCTTTACTTTAAAATTTGAGCTGCTTTTGAGTTTAAGGTATTTCTCATCTATGTCTTTTTTAAATGTTTTAATTATGAATCTCCAAAATATTATTTGACAAAGAAACATAATGTAAATGGCAATCAATGTGACTTTAAATGCACTTAGTCTTTTTTTAAAAGGAAAATAACATATATGGATTTAAAAAAAAAAAAAAAACAAGATGTTTGCCTCCATAGAGGGACTAGGGAGCTTCAACTTGAAGACTAAGGAAGAGAAAGTGAAAGAGAGAAAGCGAAAGGTGAAAGAACCAGGAAGTCGCTGCACAATGAGCAGCGACAGGAGTCCCCTTCCGCTGCAGACTGCTGAAAACACTTAGTACCCTCAGCATCCTCCCCTTCCACTGCAGACTGCTGAAAACACAGCACCCTCAGCATCCTCCCCTTCCTTCTGCTGAAAACACTTACGGCACCCTCAGCACCCTCCCCTTTCCATTCACATCATTCACACAGTAATTTGCTGCCTGCCTCCTTCCCTACTGTTAGCCACCATAAGACCCTTAATATTCGAGGGTACTCTCCCTTAGATCCCAAGTCCCAGCCACAAGACACAGTGAGCCTGGGCTTCATTTCACAAGGTCCTGCCTGCACTCTCATTCTGTCCTTTCTAGGTTTGGTAGTAGCCTGAGCTGGCCTTGAACTCACAATCCTCCTGTCTGAGCAGCTGAGATTACAAGTGGAAACCTCCATATCTGGCTTATCTTCTTCATTTCTGTTGAATAACTTTAGAAAAGGTTTTCATCTGAAATCAACAGCCTTAGTTTTCTTGTGAAGGATGTAACTTCTCACAGGGTCACAAGATGGAGAAAAGATAAGGAAGTGTGCTGTTTGGCTCATTAAAAGTGTGTTTATTACTTATTATTATTTCCTTTGTTAGCCTCGGGTATGCTTCTCTTGATTGTTTATCAACAACTTCTCTTTGAATTCCCATTTTGGGGTAAGTTTTCCATTCTAACCCTTAAAAGTATCATTCTATGCCTTGGAAAACATCCTGAATTCTTGCTAGAACTGGGTAGACACAGGATAAAAGAATAATGGGGCTAGGGGGTTCCCAGTGATACCTGGAAGATCTGTTCTGTCCCTTCTCTGCAAAGGCCTCACTAAATTCAGAGAGGGGGAACACATCTACATAAGCAAACAAAACCAATCTAAAAAGTGGTATGCACAGTTACAGTACAACAGGATACAGACTTGCAGGGCAGAATGGTACCCAGGGAAAACTGCTATGGAGGCTCCACTTTCCGGAAACAGTGACACTGTTTTGTATCCAACACATTCAGTTTATTCACTTAGGCCGGAAATACAAATATCCACAAGACGTATTTTTGGAGAAACATATTAAAAATTTTAAATGACAATGTCAAAAATATTCAGGCCAGCAGTGGTGCAAGCTGGGCAGTGGTGGCACACACCTTTAGCCCCAGCACTAGGGAAGCAGAGGCAGGCAGATCTCTGAGTTCCAGGCCAGGGCAGCCTCATCTACAGAGTGAGTTTCAGGACAGCCAGGCCCATACAAAGAACCCCTGTCTCGAAGAAAAAAAAATTCAAGAACATGTATGCACCCACTAAATGAGAATGTGATTTTCTTCCCTACAGGCTATACAGAGAATATACTTGGGAGTGATGTTATTAAAATTTTTATTTGGAGACAAGGTCTTGCCATGCAGCCTAGGTTGGCCTGGAACTCATGCCCTACTTCCCCTGCTTTCCAAGGGCTAGGATTACAAGCGATTGCCACCATGTCCAACTCTGAACCACACTGTCCTCTACCTGAACAAAATAAAATGTATCCTTAACAGGCTTCCGTAGTTAGCCATCCACTGAATATTCACTTGAATCAAATGCTGACCATGCTACCAGGGTCAAAGTCTTAGAGCAGCCTAGGGTGCCAAGAAAAACATGTCCATTAAACCGTCTTTGCAAGAATCAATTAAAATATTTTATCTGCCTTATTATGGCTGCAATTTTCCTACCCAGCTAAATTAACTCTTAAGATTTTATATTTTCTTTACATTACTGTTTTTTCTAATGTAAAAATGCTGGGGCAGGGTGGGCGTCTTGGTTTGGTTAGCTTTGTTTTTGTTTTGTTTTGTTTGTTTACTTTCCAAGCTTTCAATTTTCATTTATCATGTTATTATTATTTTGTAAGCAAGAAAATTTTTACTTCTCCAAAGAATGCTCCTTCGCCTTCGAATCCATTTCACTCTAAAATTGCCCTAAAGGTAGAGAGCACCCGGCATGCCGCACCGTTGGGCCGTGTTCTCATTCTGGAGCATACTCCCGGTCGCAGCTGGAGTGTGGGTAGAATGGTGGGACCCTCCCTTCACGCGACACACTGTGACCCTCCACGCAATATACTACACCAAGCGCCCGGAAGGTGGTGCAACACCCGCAGTTGACTCCTCCTGAAGCAGTCAGCCAGTGTGACTAGTGCACACACACTTCCCAGGCTCTGCCGCTGAACTGGGCAACGGCCCCGCGTGATCCCCAAAGTGTGCCGTGAACTGGGGATTCTGAATCCCACACCTGGTGCAACACACGGATGGCCAACCCCGCGGTGCACCGGCCTGGAACAAGGTGGCAGACATTAAAAGCGGATCTGAGATGCTCAGGATCACCCGGACCTTGATCGAATCACCACATCCCACCCCACCAACTGGGAGCGGGGCGCGCTGCCCATCTCCGGGATAAAGAACATCCATGAGCTTGATCTGTCCGCAAGAACTGATCTCCCGGTCCTTGCTCCAGTCCCTGTGTGGTACCCTTGGCCTCTGCGGCGCGAAGCACGTACCCACATCTCCCAGAAAGCAGCCGTCCCCGGCGCGGGGCTCCATGCGGCTCGCCGGCTGGGGGCCCCTGCCTACCGGTCTTGTGACTCCCGGGAGCTGGGACCTGAGCCGCGACTTAAACCGGGACCAAGCAAGGACCTATCCAGGACCGCAGGCCGCTGGGCGGGGCCTGACTGTTTCCGTGGCCACCTCTGGGAGTTGTAGTTTCTGTTGATTCGCAGCGCCTGAGTCCACGCCGCTGTCACCACCAAAGGGTGTGCATATTTGCACAAGCAAACTGAAGTGTGCAAAATGTACGCCTGTGTTGACACGTTGCACGTGTGAATACCTGCCCATTAACAAGTCCTGTGTTTAGATGAAAAGCCTAGACACCTGTGTTCGTTTGTAAAAGATGTGTCTGTGTGCAAAATGTTTGTTTCTTGAAACAAGTACCCGTGTGCAAAATGCGCCTAGCTGCCAAAACTGGCCTCCTGTAGTTTACACTGTTCCCGCTGAGCAAAGTATCCAATCCCTTAAAGAAGAGCCTTCCAGTGAAGCTGGTGATCAAAGTGCCTGATTCTTCCACTTTTCAAAATAAATCCTAATTTTCAAATAGTTGAAATTCGTTAACAAAAAGTACGTTTCTTGGTGGACAGTTTTAATCTGGTGGCTCACTAATGTTTAGCAGAAGGAGGCTGAAGTACCATGAGCAGCCTGTCAGAAATGAGAAACCAGTCTTCTCCAGGGATTCCAAGACAACCAGCGAGTGAGCCGCGTTGTGCTCTATTATGATTTTTCTTTCCTTTTCTTTCTTCAGCCTCTTGAAATATTCTTTCACCTTAACCTGTACTGAGCCTCAGTGTAGAAATACATTCTGAGCTGAACATGGAAACGTCAGGATCTTTGGAAAGAGCACTAGAAGCCATCCTCTGAGGTAAGGATTCTTGGATAACCCTAAACTGTATCTGCCTGTTGGACCACAGGTACTGTGTTTATTTAGGAGGCCTTGAATGTTACCGGTTGAAGATCTGAACTGCTGGGGAAGCCTTGGAATAAAATTTCAAGCCCTTTTGATAATGTGTGTTTACTACATCCTTTTGTCTATTAACTCTTGGCTCTTGTAGTTGCTTTTTGTTTGTTTGTTTTACTATTTGTATGATGCGTATGTGAGTGCACCTGTTCACGTGTGAGTGACGGCATGTGTGTGCAGGTCAGGTGATACCCTCTCAGTCCTTGCCGTCCCCTTTGTTTGAGACAGAGTCACCTGTTCGCTCCTGCAAATGTCGGAACTGTGAGCTTCAACAGAGCCTCCTGCCTCCTCCTCCTCCCACCGAGGTGGAAGAGTACTGGGATTCTGAATGACTAGCCACACCGCCCAGCTTTTACTTGAGTTCTGAGGACCCAAACTAAGGTCCTCACAGATGGTACAGCAAACATATTACCCACTGAGCCATCTCCCCCGGCCCTTTTGCACGTCTTCTTGCATATTTCTACATATTTAAATAAAATTAATAGACTTGGGGGATGTTTTTGCTTTGCTTTGGTTTGGTTTTGGTTTTTAGTTTTTGAAGACAGGGTTTCTCTGTGAAACAGCCTTGGCTGTCTTGGAATTCACTTTGTAGACCACGCTGGACTCAGACTCACAGAGATCCACCTGCCTAAATCTCCTGAGAATTGAGATTAAAGGCATGTGCCACCATGCCCAGATGTAATAGTCTTTTATTTTATTAACACATTTGCTGTGGAATTCTGTATTCCTTCTTGTCAGTGTGATATGTCTGCATGTTTTTGTTTTTGTTTTTGTTTTTTTGGTTTTTCGAGACAGGGTTTCTCTGTATTGTTTTGGAGGCTGTCAGTCCAGCCTGGCCTCGAACTGACAGAGATCCGCCTACCTCTGCCTCCCGAGTGCTGGGATTAAAGGCGTACGCCACCACCACCCGACCTTGTATTTTCTTCAACATTTCTTCCCTGACATATTCTGCAGATCTGAGTATAGACCACATAGAGTATGTATTGATATATACATGTATGTATACAAATGTTATACTAATGCTTGCTACATACTTCTTAAGCAATCATTTGCTTATTACTTGTTGGTAGTCTTTTCCACTATTCTGATGGTTGACTTCAGTATTTATTGCAGAAATACTACCCCCCCCCCTTTTGGCTTTTTGAGATAAGGTTTCTCTGTGTAACAGCCCTGACTTTGTAGACCAGGCTGGCCTTGAACTCACAGAGAACTTCCTGTCTCTGCCTCCGAGTGATGGAATTAAAGTAATGTGCCATCACACCCAGTACAGAAACCATTTTTAAAGGTGTGTGAAGATGGAGCTTCTGTCCTGCTCAGTCCTGCAGCCATTTAGTCCCAAATAAACACACTAAGACATACATTAACTATAAACTATTTGAACCCTCCCCTAATTATTAACCCATTTCTATTAAACTATGTATTGCCACAGGCTGTGGCTTACCCATAATGTTCCAGCATGTTACTCCTTTGGAGGCTACATGGCAGCATCTCCCTCTTCCCAGAATCCTCCTAGTCTGGTAGTCCTGCCTATACTTTCTGCTTAGCTACTGGCCAATCAGCATTTGTTCTCAACCAATAAGAGAAACATATATTCACAAATAGAGAAGGGCATCCCTAAGCTCTCCAGAACAGTGAGAAAAAGACAAAACAACGGGGGGGGGGGATAAACTGTTAATTAAAACATATGAATGGGAAATTCATAGAGAAAGAAATGAGATTTGTTTTGCTGTAACATGAAAAATAAAAAACCCAGAGAAATATACTAGGGTTTGAGCTATAAACTGAAGATCAGAGAAGCAAAGCAGCCAAGACAGCAGATCTTACCTCTACCCAGCTGAAATGGCAATCCTGTCTCCACAAATACTCAGAGGCAAAAGCTCTCAGTTCCTGTCTCCTCCTTGCATTCCATTCTCCACCCAGCCACATCACTCCTGTCTCCACCTCCCTAGTTTTGGGATCAAAGGCATGATCTCTGTTACTCTTCTGTAAAAGGAGGCTTTTTCCTTGAGAGAAGCTTTCCCGCCAGCTTGGTTCCAGAGCCGCATCAATCCCAAATAAACACACAGGAGGCTATATTAATTATGAAGCTGTTGGCCTTGCTTGTTTCTTACTGGCTAGCTCTAACTTAAGTAATTACCCCATAATTGTTAATCTAAGTATGTCTCTTACCGGAGAAGTTCCGGGCTTCCTACCCCATGGCGTTACATCTCAACTCTCCTGGGTTTCTCCTTCCCAGAGTCCTCCTGGACTCCTAGTCCCACCTATCTAGATTCCTATTGGCTCAACAGTGCTTTATTGACATAAGACTTCCCCAACACTCTTCACTCTTATGTAGGCCAGGATGGCCTTGAACTCAGAGAGATCCATCTGCCTGTCTCCTGAATCCTGGAATTAAAGGTGTGTGCCACCCCTGCCTAGCTAGCTAGTATAGCTACTGATATTAAAGGTGTGTTTCACTACTGCCTGAATTCTATAGCTTGTGGCTGACTTTGCTTTGTGAATCCTCAGGCAAGCTTTAATAAATCATAAATAATATATCACTACAATTCCCCTTTTTTCTAATACAAAAAGAAGGCAACATAAGAAAAACTATATACAATAAGTATATATAATATATAGGCAATAGTAATATCAACAATGTCTAGTTCATTTGCATTTGACAAATTCAGAGAAAATGCTTCATTATCTAAACCTTTATGTCTAGTCCATTTGCATTTGGCACATTCAGAGACAATACTCCATTATCTTTTCTATCGTGATGAGTCCAAAGTCTTGTACCTAATTTACGTCCTATTTTAATTTGCATTATCAAATTATCTTCTAATGTCTTTCAAACCGTTCACACTTTGCATCTCTTCAGTGAGTTTCTTTTCTGAGTCTAGATAGTCACCCAATGTTCCTCTGCAATGTTGGGTCATCAATCTTCGGCCTCTAGGCCTAGCATATCTGACAGACTTCTGTGAAGTAGGATTTTTAAAGAACTGTCCCACCTTATCTTGACAAGGTTTGCAGTCACCCTTTTTGATGTCCTGCTTGTCCAGCTTGGACATCATATTGTCAGCAGTTGAGGTAAGGGCACCTTCTTGCCCAGTGTCTTACCTTTGCCACAGAGAAAGTAAATTCCATTGGAGTTTTTTCAATGACTATCATCTTCTCTGAAGTAGATTGGTGCTGCCAGGAGCAGACATATCTCATTGTCATAAAAAAAGAAAAACTTATGTTATTAAAACATCTTAAATGCCATATTCTATCAATCTCTGAAGTGTTTGAAGATCATTTGTCTTTCTAAAATATATATCGATTTGACCTTGAAAACATACCTAATGTAACTACAAGTTTGATTATAATAGGTGACTAATTACTAACCTACATTTCCTTATTATTTTATATAGTTGGTAATAGTAACTTTCAAGGATTAGAAATTTGCATTACATTATAAAATGAGCTGTATATATATAATACATAGAACAATATTAGAAATGTATGTACAGTATGTTTTAACAAAATTAATCTCAAGTTTGTATCAATATACAATATTTTCATACAATATACAAAGTCCAATCCAGTGTAAAATATTTAAAACTAGTAGTTGCTTTTTAAAAGTAGATTCAATAATCTACCCTTTTATCCTATCATATCTGGGTTCCTTTTTTTTTTTTTCAAAACAAAAACCTTGAATCTATCCCTGTGTTCAACATCCTTCCTGATTGTAACCAACAACATTGTGTAACCAATCCCCTAAACAATGACAAATTTCCATAAACCAATAAGTGACCAAAAGCCACCCACCCCACCTTTTGGGAACGTGGGAATTTTTTTTCTTAACGTTACTTCCTGTTGTCTGGAGGCAACAGAATCTTTAGGGGATCCTGAAAGGAAAATTGTTGGGGTAATTGCCAAGCTGTATCATTTGTTTTCCAGTCTCTGAGTAATGGGAAAGTGCAGGGTTTGTTTCAAGTCTTGGCTAAAGTATTTTGTGAGACTGGATCATCTCATCTGGCCTCCTTGAAATTGTTCTGAGAAGTTTGTAGTCCAAAGCGCATCTTTAGTTGGTGTTGTTCAGCTTAATGGTGTTGTCATAGTCCTGGTGGAGTAGCTGCTCATTTATTTCTGTCTTACTTTCCAAATTGTTTTGTAGCCTTCAGTATACATGTCTCCATTTCTTCTGTGAAATCCACTTCTAAATATCTTATCATTTTTTTGTAGTACTGGAAATGCCCTTCTTAAATTTAATATTCTTTAGTATAAATATTGCAACATGATTGATGATGGATTTTTTAAATATTGATTAATTCTACAATCTTGCTGGATTTATTCATTAATTCTATTTGTGGTTATGTACAACTATATTCTGAGGATTTTAGATTTTGGACATATACAACCATGCTGTGGGCAAAAAAAAGATACTTTACTTCTTTTCTAATATAAGTGCACTGAGGGGGGGTGTTGAGGCAGGGTTCCTCTGCGGCTTTGGAGTCTGTCCTGGAACTAGCTGTTGTAGACCAGGCTGTTCTCAAACTCATAGATATCTGCCTGCCTCTACCTCCTGAGTTCTGGGATTAAAGGCAAGCACTACCATGAACTGGTCTATAAGTACATTTTTATTCTCCTGTCAAATTCCCTTTACTATAACTTGTAGTACAATGTTGAAGATAATTCCTGGGAAGAGCCAGATCTGGTCTAGTTCTTGATCACAGAGGGCAGACATTCAATATTTCACCATTAAGCATGATACTACAATGTATGTTTTATAGGTATCCCTTTTAGTTAAAAAAGCTCCCAAGTGGAGCTGGAGAGATGGCTCAGTGGTTAAGAGCATTGATTGCTCTTCCAGAGGTCCTGAGTTCAATTCCTAGCAACCACATGTTGGCTCACAACCATCAGTAATGAGATCTGGTGCCCTCTTCTATCATGCAAGGATACATGCAGGCAGAACACTATATACATAATAAATAAATCTTAAAAAAAAAAAGCTCCCAAGTGCCGGGTGGTGGTTCACCCTTTTAATTCACTCAGGAGGCAGAAGCAGGTGGGTCTACTGAAA